GGTTCGCATCGGACAGGAGCGAGTTGATCCGCTCCCGGATAGTGCGATTCGTGCGTTCCGCCAGTCCATTCTGCCCTTTGCAGTACGGCGGCGAGCTTTATCGCTGCCACAATTCTCTGTCCCAAGCTACTGTATCCAAGTTGAGGCAGATGTCACCCTTTCGACCCAGGGATCATCTACGCCAAGCACATCGTCCCGTGGCTTGACTTCCCCCAACTATCAGGAAATCTGGGGGGAGTTCGACCGCACCGCTGCCTTTCTCTCTCGCCCCTTATTCCCTTCTGATACCTAGATTGATGACGTTACGGACATCCAGAACAGGCTGATCTATTTAGAGCGTCTCTTCAGAATATTGGGTGAGACACGGTAGACAATTTTGTCGAAAAGGTCATTGCGGCTTTGCGAGACGATGAACGCCTTCAACGTGAGTTTGGCATCCAGGCTGAGTCACCTTCTACGATCGCACAAACCCGTCGGAAACTTCGCTGGAGAACAGCTTGGAGCAAATGAGTCTTGAGCACGCGCGGACACTGTAACGACTGGCGAACACGAGTCTTGGATGAAGTTGAGGAAGGTGACAAGGAGAGGAGCCACGCAGAGACAGAAGAGGGGTGGCACCGCGCGACGACGCGATCGGTGCGCCGGCCAGTTCTGCGTGCACCTTGTGGTGGGTGAACGGCAATACCTGTGTATGCAGTGGAGTTCGAGGCGCCGCACAAAGTGATGATCTCTGAATTGGTGGGGTGGCGGTTCTACACCGGGGATCATCTAGAACTGCGCCGCCTGTGGAGAAGCAGCATCGCCTTCAAGCGGAAGTGGACAATTATCACCCCCTTAGGAACTTATAGGACAACACATCCCTGTGTGTCTTGGGCACTTCAAGCCTCGTGTGGCATATTGGTACCACGGCAGAAGAATGGCACAGATGATGATCTTGGGCTGGTCTGGAACGCGGCTTCAGCATGTCATCCATGATGGGAACACCAGCTTCTTTCGTCAATCAAGAGCGCGACAAAGCTCTGGCCGAGATCCGGTCGCGTGGAGCTATCCACTGCGACAGTGAGTGGCGTATTATGCTGTGGGATGACCTGAGCGGCCGCTTGGTTGTCATTGACCTGGAGGATGTGAAATGATTGAAGCGCCCTAGTGCCCTTGAATCCATCTCTGCCAATACGCGGCGAATTCGCTGCGTCGGAGCGACGAAATATAAGCCCGGCTTGGAAAGGGTGGAAATTCCGCAACACGGCAGTACCTTAAGCTTGTAACAGTGTGTTCAGAAACGTTGCAAAGCATTCCGCCGCAAGACGTCGTGCCTTTAACTTACACCGAGTACTGGATACATATTTTGCAACACGAACCCTACATGTTGCAAGAGCGCGACTGCACAGCAGGCTTGGGCGGCGGAATTATCTACACGACCTTCCCAGGCTTTGCAGC